TAACCTTTAGTTTGGGTGTTTATGTTTACATTTAATTTTTCAAAATGATAAAAAGGAAAAGCATTACTATTTATTGTTATATGATCGGATTGATCATACTCCTTTTTTCAAGAATCCCCTCTTCAAATTCGTGTTCAGGAAACCAAAACAATATGCCCAAGTGTTATTATAAGGGATGTGAAAATAGTTCTAAATCAAAGAGATCTGCTAGTGTTTCTTATATTCCTTTTCCAAAACCAAAACGAAAACTTGCTGACTGTTCAAGATGGATTGATGCATGTGGCAATGAAATATTGCAAATAGAAAATATTAACAAGAATATATTATGGATGTTCAGCACATTTTGTGGATGATGATTCTAGCTATCCAATTCCTTGCAAGGAAAGTCATTTCGATTCATCAGATTTTAATATTGCTGCATCCGTAGATATAGGCACTGAAACAAGTAGCTATGATCCAATGGACATAGACATTGTTGAAGATGATAAACTTATGTCTGAAAATGAAATCTTATTGGAAATAAGCACAAACTCAATCAATGACCATTCCTATCACATCAACAGCAGATTCCATACAAATAATGTGATTCCTGAAACATCTGATGATAATTCTCCTGTTGATTATTTCAGTTATAACAGACTAAAAATTTCCAAGCATTTCAAATTTTTCACTGGCCTTTCAATTCAACATTTTGAAGCATATTTCAATTTATTAGATCCATTCGTCATGAATCATCTGAAATATTGTAGGAGAAAAAATATATCCCCAATTTATATGCACAAAATGTACAAGCTATCTAATAAGGACAAGGTGGTCCTGACATTGGTGAGGTTACGAAGAGGATATACAATTAAAGAAATGTCTATATTTTGTGGCATTAGCCAAACATATGCCTCTGCCATATTCTATACACAGATACAATTTCAGTATTTACAATGTGTAGGTTTGCGTGGAGACATATTTAACTGTTCCAGAGAATCAGCAAAAATTCCATATTGTTTCAAAATTCTTCCTGAAAGAGTGACAGTTGTTCTAGACAGCACTGAAATCAAGGTAGAAATGTCCTCAAACTTCCAGAGACAAGGAAATACATATTCAAATTATAAGCACTTCAACACTATCAAATTCTTGATTGGAATCAACCCAACATTATAGGGATTCGCTTTCGTGCGCTCCAAGCGATAAAAAAAAACTGGGGCCTTGATCCACATTAGTGATGGTTTCGAAGGATCCATATCAGATCAGAGTTTATTTGAGAAATCTGACATAAAATACTTTTTAAAAAATGGAGACGTTATTCTAGCTGATAGGGGATTCACTATTCAAGAGATATGTGATAGAGAAGGTTATATATTATTAACTCCACCTTTTCTGGCTGGTAGAGACAGGCTTACTGCAGAAGAAGAGATAATGACGAAAAAAATTGCCAAATCACGAATTCATGTGGAGCGAATAATTGGACAAATTAAAAACTGGAGAATACTGACTCAAGTTGTACAAATGAATAATATGATTGATACCATTTCCAATTTATTTTTCCTCATTAGTTTCTTAGTCAATTTCCAAAGTTCCTATATAAAGTAGGTAGTATCATCATTATCTAGTAGGGAGGCTAGAAAGTATTTTTTATTTCCATTGCAATATTCGGTTTGCATTATTTTTCAGTTGGAAAGTTTATAACTGTTATCAAGTTTTTAAGTTGTTTCTTGAATGTGAATTTAATTTTGTTCATGCACTCTTTCAGAGTAGACTCCAAAATATAATACCTATACCTACCTCATATTTTATTATTAGAGGTATATCAATAAAGTGAACGTTTTTTGTAGGGATCGATCTTGACCTACCTATGCAGGAGATATTTCTACTATTAATTATAATAGCTTCCTAATTTTTTCTCAAACTAGAAATACGTTTTGTTTCAGCATCAATGAAACACAATTCAAATTTTACCATCTATATTTATGAAAAAATCATCAGTTTGTATATGAATAATAATGAGTACATTCCTAAACATTCTATTCAAGGATTACCAGAGGTCACTTCAAATTATTCAATTTGAAATGTTCTAAATGTTGAGATAACTAGGTATGCTTCTTTAGCTTTCATTGGCTTTCATTGAACTGAACTTTTCACATGTTTTTTTCATTCCTTCAATTCTATACATTCTAGCCCTCTAGGAGTTCTCATTAAGAAGAATTCTGGAACATACATATTATAATAAATTGATTTCAACTTATTTTTGATGATATCTAAAACATTGTTTTCAATGCTCCCTAAATTGATAGTAAAAACCATAATATTTATTGGGGACCATACAACAAAGTCACATTCATCAACTTCAAAAATAATCATTGAAGTTGTAATTTGATAAAGATATGGATGATATTTTTTAATAGTAATTTGGCCATTAATTCTGTGGAGGAAAAAATTTGATTTTTGAGTTCTTGTTAACACCATGTCAAATTCATTAGGATCATTCTTTTCTAATATCTTTGGACATTTGATTTCAATTATTTTAGATATCTTATTATTTTTGAGGGCAATTCCATCAACGCTACAAGCCAAGTGTGGATAGCTTTTATTTACAACTAATCCTGACTCTCTCAATACCTCATCAGTAGATAATATCTTGGATACATTTTGGATCCTAGCATGTTTTTCATTCCTTATACCATAATTCATTGCTGCACTCTGACTTGTTTTTAATACCCATAAATGTACCGTTCCATCAGAAAATTTTTTTTGGCTGATGAAGTACTGAGACTACTAACTCTTTTCGAAACAGAAGCAGTAATGAAATATCTTCTCATTTTATGCCACTCTTCTGATCCCTGTATCTCTGTTCCAGATACAGTAAACATGTTTGATTTATAATTTTCTTCAGAATAATTAGACATATTTAATTTGAATTGTTCAATTTTCACTCTCAAGAGTTGAATATCCAGATCATCCAGATCAAAATCCTCATATTTGATCTGAAAAATGGTCTCAAACAGACTTTCTTCTTGGTTAGCTTGCAAATCTGCTATGAAGTCATTTAAATTTATGTCTCTTACATAGCCCCTTGGCCTAGGGTCGAATGAATCACGAATGCAGGGATCTTTTACATTGAGGTATGTTTTGGTCTTTACACTGCCAGGGTTTTTATTTTTGCACCTAATCCCCATTCCCTTAATTTGCTAGTGGAAGCAACAACTGAATAGCCATTTTAAATTCAATGCTTTTCTAGAAATAGAAGCAAAGCACTAATGTGGCTGCACCTTCCTAATGCAGATGCTTTACACTTGCATTCCCCAGAAATCACTGTACCTGATAAACTATTCAACTTGATGGTTACTGTATATTTCATATTTTTATGAAATGAAGCATAACAATCAGCCTTCAGAAGATAGTTAGTGCCTTCAGATTTGTCCTTTACATTATGAATATAATCACTATCCACATATTGGTGGCCTCTTCGAAATAGCTTTTTTGTTGTTGTCTCCACCTTGACCTTATACTCCTCATCTTAAAAATGAATGCCTACAATATATGTATAGATAGGCCCCCCATTGAAGTATTTTGGAATGTTTATAGATGGAAATCTGCCCCATTTCTCAGTTGCCTTCATGACTAAACTTCCTGTGGACGCAACATTCACAGTAGCAGATGATGAGGTTTGTTCTTGCTGAATACTTCTTTTCTTATCATACCATACCCCATTGTCAATACCAAGAAAAATGTTCGATTCTCGACCAGCTTTAATGCAGTTCTGAACTCTACAAATAAAAGATGTCAGTACTCTGATAACCATTAACATCTACCTGAAAACCTTTTAATGAGCTCTTGTTTTTTGCCATTTTTCTTCAGCTTCCTGCATTCCAGCCACCTCTGCAATTCTTGCACAGAGTGAATCTCAATCAAAAGGCTTGGATTCAAAGTTGCCCCTGGTACGTCTTCTGGTAGCAAAACTACGGAATCTGCTTCCATAATCTCAATTTCAACAATCAGCTTGTACTTGTGAAAAACAATTCTTGGACACAACAAATCTTTAAAAATCATGGACAGCAAATCATGAAAAATCCGAAATAATAATATAAAAAATAATTAACTTTCAGAGGTTAGAATAGTCTTCATCTAAATTTTTTTGTGTTACCAACATGAAAAAACGAAAGTTTTCATTATTTTATGTTGGACCCCTGAAGACAAGGACAGAAGGGAAAGACATTTTTTTCTCTCTCAACGGTAGCTGAACTGCTCTATTTATTAAGAAATATCCATAAGAAAATAAAAGTCCTCAGTAGATAATATCCAAAGTCATTCACATAACATATGTAATTCAAACCCGGTTCAAATTTCACAGACAGGAACCTAGTAAGCTTTTCCGGCAGAATTTATCGGACTTGAAAGTTCACCTATGAGGTAATGAACTCGATAGGTACGATTATTGCTGATTCTGCTAACTCGGCAAGTATCGCCTATAAAACAATTGAAGTATAGATTTTCCATGACAATCAGACTCGGTACGACGTAGATTACGAGTACGTTTTTTTTTTGGGTAACCACCCTAAGCCCCCCAATTGTCACAGTGAGTAGCACCGAGTCATTGCACCGAGTAACTCCGAGTAGATCTTGAACTGATCAATAGCGTTCCTATTACAAAGAGTTTGGAGCACTCGAACTGACCAATGCTACCTACCCCCTTCCCCTCGAGCACCAGGTTTTACATTAGGGTATCAAACTCAAAATAATCAGTTATGTCAAAGACACGTCAGATTTTGCTTTTGTTGAAAAATATAATTATCCTTTATTTTTTATGTTGGTCAAAAAACCCAATTAAAAATTAACGGAAACAATGAGCGGAATGTATCTCTGGGAGATAGATGACCCGGAAAACGGGGTACAGTACAGTATGTATTTGGACCAGGAGGACTATCTCAAAGCACAACAAGGTAATTTCATCCTAATTATGATTCAGGTTTGATTTTGAGTGTTCAAATGATTCTGAATCATGTTTTCAGACTTCACATATGCTGAAAGCCTTCTGCGTCATGCTAGGAGTCAGGATGAACATCAAACTCCAGGAACAAGTAATGAAGCGCCTGTTCAAAAATCACTAGTTGAAGAAAATTTAACTGTGGAGGTTGGTTCAAGGAAATCCATTGAAGTAACAACTCCTCTCGAACATATCTGGCAATACAATGAGGTAATCACTCTTATAAGGTCCATGGAGTGCCACTATGAAGATCTAGCTCACCCTAAACGGCGCAGATCAGTTTTTACTAATGTGGTGAATGATTTATTGAGCAGCGGATTTGCTGTAGATGAAAGCATGTGTCAGGCAAAATGGAAGAATTTGGTGAGAAGTTACAATACAGCCAAGGACCAAAAAACTCGCACTGGAAGGGGCCCTACTAGATTTCAGTTCTTTGAAGAATTGGACAATTTGCTGGGTGAGAAACCTACTAATAAAGCTAAACATACAATTGAATCATCTTCGAGTAATCACAATAATACAGAAGAGGCAAATTGTGTGGTGAACGTAGATGAAGTGAATTGTACTTTGGTAATAGAGGAAGATGATTCTGATAGGGATAAAGCAAAGAATGATGAAATTTATACCGACAAAAAAAACCAATGCAGAAAACAAAGAGAAGGAAAAAAAGCGCGAGGTAACTGCTAAAAATGAGAGTATTTTGAAAGAAATCAACTAAGAAAAATCAAAGAGACACCAAGAAAGAATGGATATTGAACAAAAAAAAATTGAAATGGAAGAACGAAAGTGCAGACTTTTAGAAAGGTACTTAAATTCCAAAGTTTGAGTACTTATATACTGAGATCCTTATATTAATTGATTCTGTTAATCTATCTGTTATCTAATCCAGAGAATTTAGTAGGCCTATATTAGAAAACTGTTCCTGTTATCTTCATTATTGTGGAATTTTGAACTTACAAAGAATGTAATTTCTTATTATTACTGTTCAAATTGTAATATAATGTATTTCAATAAACATAAATTTATTTATAGGTATTATCCAAACATTTCAGTGAATATTTGTTGTCGCCGGACGCCTCTCCCTTGATTATGGAAATCTGGTAATACAGCCAAATTACCTAGGTTATTCTCTACCCCATTAACATTGTTCTGGGTAACTTCATCATCATTGTTCTGGGAAACCTCATCATCTGATAAGTTGTTCAGCATACATATGTTATGCAAAACACAAGCAGCCATCACACATTTTGTGATTAGTGGAATATTCAAGTTTTCAAAACAATATCTTCTGAAGCGTCCTTTCAGCAAACCCAATGCATGTTCTACAATCATTCTTGTGGAAGACAAACGAAAATTGAATTTTTTTTGATTATCTGTCAGGTTTCCTGTATCACGGAAAGGAGGAACAATCCACTGTAAAGCAGGATAAGCAGAATCTCCAAGGAGGTACCAATATTCAAAAAAATATGGATTTTGAGCTTTTGAATAAATATTAGATTTTCTCAACATTCTTGCATCATGCATTGACCCTGGCTCTCCACAGTAAACATCTATGAACATTTTTCTATGATCAGCCACTACCTGTAGCAAGAGACTATAAAAACCTTTTCTATTCACATATACCTCTTCATGTTCTTCAGGTCTAGTGATTTTAATGTGAGAGCCATCTATTGCCCCTATCACACCTCGAAATCCATGTTTTTGAAAAAACGCCTCTGAAGATTCAATTTTTTGAGATTTATCTGGCCATTTGATATATTGGTCTCGCAAAGTGACAATGAAATTTATCACCCTAACTAGGCATCTGTGGGCTGAGCTGAGTGAAACATCAAACCTATCAGAAATTTGTCTGAATGTTTCAGTATTGGCTAAATACCATAGCCCCATGAGAAATGATGCTTCTGCTGTGATTTTCCGTTTTCCAAATGTATGAGTTGGGCATAACTGATGTCTTTCAAATTCTGCTGAAATAATAAGAAATACTTATATCACCTCTTCAGGTATGTATATATATATTAATTCAAGAAACTTCAAATTTACTTATACATACAAATTAAATTGTATGTAAGATTCCTGGTTAACCGGAAATGCGAAATGAACTCCTCATCACTATATTTTCTCACAGTATCTTCTATGAAATTTTTTATTCGAATTCTTTTTCTTTTCATCATACTATCCACTTCAGCCTCATCATCAGAATATTCACTACTTGATACTGTTTCATTCTGCTTCAGCATCATTTCCTGTGGGTTATTTGTTATAAAATTTACGACATAAAATATTATACACCTACCAAAATCATATAATCGACAAGTTTTTCCATTATAAAAATCTACAATCAGAAATTCAAATTCAAATTTCGAGCCAATCTGACGAAAAATCTGTCAAAAAAATGTCACTGAAAAAACTCAGATGAAAATTATGTTCCAATTACAACATCCTGGTTCAGTTCAAGTGTAGGTTAGTACGGGATCATTTCGGGGGTAACAAATTTTCAATTGGAAAGCGGCTCTAGTGAGTTAGTAGACGTCAACGCCAACCCTCTTAGCCATGACACACATCTCCTCCCCTGCCGGAGCAGCGATTATTGTATGGACAATGTAAGTACATTTTTGAATCAAAAAACTGTTTCATCACCTTGTACAGCCCCTGTAATTGTCTCCAACCACGTTGGTAGTTAGATCCAGAGATGTAGGATTTCACTAGAAGGTGTAGCCATAGGGTCACTTTAATTTAGTCACTTCACTTAACTTTTTTTGTCTCACTTCACCATTTTATGTTGCTTACTTGTTCACTGTTTTTTTTATCGTTCAATAAAACTTAAATTTATGTTTAACAAAACATGCACTCTTTCCTTGCCACAATCGAGTTACGAGAGTGTGGTAGTTAGGACACCCTCTTGCTGCCAAGCATAACCCCCTAAGATCACGCAGCCGGGGAGGAAGGCCCCAATGGTCAAATGGAACAAACTCACCAAAATTAAAAGTGACAGGCGAATATGTTCAACTGTGGTGTCTAGCTGTCGAGTACAGGGTGTAGACGGCCACGTCGTTCATATACAGGGTGTTGAGTTACCGCCAAGATACAGGCAGGATACAGGCAGGATACTGAGTGGACTTTGTCTTGTAGAGCAGTCTACTTTGCAGCCACAAAACAACCTGATGGGGCTCTCAGAGCTCCTGGGCCATCAGCAGGCTCTTCTATTGGGCTGACAAAAAAAGGCCAAACCAAGAAATATCCAGCCGACTGGATAACACCCCCAGCAATTAACACATGGTGGATGACGGAAGACGCAGTCTTCACTGGAGAAAGGACAGAGTCCGGGAATATAAGAACCCTGAACGACAAAATGGAAAAATTGTTTTGGGCCACTCAATAAATAATCAAAATCAAATCTCATACTTGTGATGGAGTTCGGGTTCTTGGTAGGGTGATGTCGACCTCGTGGCTTTCAGCCTAAAATCCCTCCAATTTGAGGTATGGTACCAACACCAGAATTGGTTCCCATTAAATGGAAATTCGTTTCGAAATAATCTCAACACTAATGGAGAAAGAATAAATCGAAATATATACAATGCGAAATCGAATTCCTGGCTTACTTGTGACACGAGATGGATCGCACCGTCTCCAGCAGAAAAATGGCGAGATGTATCCTCGAGATGATGGGCCGTCCTCCGATCGGAAAATCGGTCTTTTTCTCAAAAACGACTCATAGCGCAGAAAAGTGTTGGTGGGAGATTTTCCCGCGAACACACTGTAGATGGTATTTTACCACCACAGAAAGATGAGAAAACATCGTAGCTCCAACAAGAAAATACCAAATTTACCCGATATTAGTAAATGTAACCAATTTACATCTAGTTTTCGTCGAAATTGATTTTTCGGCGGTTGAAGCCGTTTTGCCAAGACCACAATATTCAAACGGAGACATGCGCAGACATGAACTCGGAACTACGTCGACCTATGAAGCAATCTTCTTTTTTTTCGATGGATGATCAACTTCATCGAACGAGACATAAACAATAGGGTTATTGCACCTACTATTCGATTCAACAACAAGCCACCATTTTTAAAGATCCAGATATCGTGCTAGGCTTAGTCCTTCCATAATCAATCAATTTCAAGGTCATTTAATAGCGACAAACAAAAAATATCCACTGTCGATGACAGGTGTTGACCAATGCTCAAAGTACGAAGAAGAATGAGAAGATATTGCCCTTCAAAAGAAAGCAGAACAGCTCGCAAGTATCGATCATCTGTCAACAGTCAACAACCTGACAGTGACGTCTTCGCTCAATATTATTGATCGAAAATGTAAACAACATAACAACGATAACAATCTGAGAAATCGAATGAGAACTGTAACAGTGAAATCTTCATCGTTAAAACTTTAAAATATCCGAACGCTCGAACATATCGAAGAAGACTGGCCATCATTCCACAAAAATAACACTGTGAATAAATATTCTAAACCTGAATCGCGAACCACGGTAAGCACTGACAACAGACCTTGTCTAATAGAAACTCGGAAGACTATTTTGTTTTCAGGAGCTAAATAAGATAACTGATTTACGACAATAAACGGTATAAACTATTTGAGATTGCAAATAGGTGATATCAACGACAACTGATGAATAAACAAATGAAAATCTTCTTCTTCTTTGATTTCTAACAGTATTTTCGTTAGGCAAAAACGAAGTGTAACATTGTCGCGTGGTAGTTTGGAATTCCAAGGATATTATTGTTATTTGCGTGAAAAAAAAATCGCTTTGAAATTGTTGAGGAAATCAAGTCAAAAGTTGAAAATGTTTATGAAACTGTTTATGTACCAGAAATATGAGGTGTGTTTGAAATATAAATGCTATTGAACTTGATAACTCACAGGATAACTAATGTACTGTCCATCTGTAGTCTGTTGTAAATTCCTTTATGCATTCAATAAACTATCATTAATTATTTTAATTTCATTTTATTTATAGTATAAGGTAAAATTTATTGATCTCAAAAGTCCACTGTGAAACTAATATAAAATTGACAATTATAGGAATAGTGTATATCAGTTCCTATTTCATGTAGAATTGTGTTTTCATCTGCACACTGAACAGATGAAAAACATTATTTGTAAATTGTCAAGTTGTGAAAAGTATTTTTTTAAATGAAACTCCTGGGTCAGTAACAAGATATTCATTATTTTCATTCCTCTTCAATAAGTGATGGCTGAAAAATAACACATTTATTGAACAACTAGTGGCGGTTCAAAATTTACCAGAAAACATATCATGGTGAATGAATTTGAAAGAATAGGAACCAACAATATCGGACATCTTTTAGATTGAATTCTGTAAGAGTTTATTCTACCAATTGCCCTTTCCACATGAATTCTTGCTTTTGCAATTTTCTTGGTCATCCTTTCTTCTTCAGCAGTAAGTTTATGTCTGTCTATCAAGAATAGAGGTATATAAACTTCAACATAGATTTCACCACATAAATCTTTCATTGAAAATCCCCTATCTGCCAAAATTACATCAGTTTCTTTGAGAAAAACACTGATATCACTCTTTTCAAATAAATCCACATCTGAAATGGAACCTTCAAAGTCATCACTACAGTGAACAATTCCTCCACTTGGAAAAAATATTACAAGAAATTTGATGGTATTCGAATGTTTATAAAAATAGTAAGTATTTCCTTGATGTTGCAAATTTGATGGCATTTCCAGGGATATCTCAGTTGCATCTAATACGACATCAACATTCTCACCATCGAAATTCTCAAAACAATATGGTACCTCCTGTATATCTCTACTTTTAGAAATTAGATCCCCACGAACACCAATGATTTGAAGATACATGAATTGATAAGCCCAAGTAAAAAATATCACAGATACATATGATTTACTCAGATTGCAAAAATATGGCATTTCAATCAGGGTAAATCCTCTTCTTAATCTAACTAGTGTTGAGCACAATTCATCTCTGTTTCATAATTTTGAAATAACTCTATCACTTTCAAGAATCGTTTTCCTATTATAATTATTTTTATGAGAATATTTTAAAGTATCCAATACTGATTCATCCAGGAAGTTGTAGAAGGCTTCAAACTGATAAATTTCCAATCCACGAAAATATTTGAATTCTACTGGGCATGTTTACAAATTTGAATAGGAGAATTTATTGTTTTTGCATTTATTTCAACTCTCGTTTCCAGTATATTGTTGGTCTTTATATGTAGTATTGTAGTATTTGGAATTGCTACAATAAGTATTAGTTTATTATGTTTGTGATTAGTTCATTTTTACCTAGTGTATATAAATAGTCACATAAAAATGGTACATACCTACAGAGAACACTCAGTCATTTGATAGTCTTTGATAAACCAGATCGTCTTCTTTATTATAAAACACATAGGTACAGCTGATTTAAGTAAAGATATTAAGTATTCAGGTTATTTTTCTTGAGGCTCAGCATACCTAGGAAGTGATGATTTTAGCTACGGCTTCGTTCTCTGATCCAATGAACAGGTCCTGAAAATTGGGGAAGATTATTATTAGAGACCTACTCTGTTTTGAGGTAGAATATTTGACCCACCTGTGGTGTTCCACAGGGTGTTGGTGCCATTGGAAACACTAGAGGTTCTCACAATTTCAGAGGTAGTCGTTCGAAATTACTTGTTTTCTTTAATTTTCTAGGATTCTTTTGTTGTTTGGGTATGTCCTATTCTTGTTTTAGCGTGGTGCTCCGGTCGTCGTCAACATCAATAGTCTTCGTGACTCGCCAAGGAAAAAGGAGAAGAGGAAGAAACAGTCATCGACCTTTATTGTCTATTCACATCATGGACTTGCGAAAGCGAAAAAGAAGAATGAGAGATTCTTCTGTCTTTGGTTCCTGTTTCGAATAAGTTTATTTGACCTACTGGTCCTCAGCCCTCATCTCGACCAATAGGATTCGAGGAAAGATTTTTATCTCGGATTTTTGTTGTTTCGTGAGCAGTCGGTGTTAAGGGTGGGGGGAATGGTGGACTTGGAGACTTTTGGTTCTTGATGATCTCTTCTTCGGCAGCCTTGATGGAAGACGCGAGCTATCAAGTGTGGTGGTGATATTCATGATCACTCGATGCAAATCAGGTGAAATATCGAATTAAGTTATTTTATCCAACGTTCTCAACGCTAGTTGTAATCACCATCACCAACTTGGATGGGTCTTCGCTGCTTTGGAGCCACCTGGGAGTCATGCCCACGCCCCGTTCCTCAGCCGAGATGTTTTTTGGCACTTCTACAACCCTTCTCAGGAGGTGGGTGATGTTTCCAATGACTGGTTTGGTTCAGGAGCATTAGTGTACCACGTTTCTTCCACGAGCTTAGAACTATGATGAAATCTGGGTTCAGGAAAGGAGGTATTATACCACTGAACAAACATTTTGTTCCCTAAAAGGATGGAAAGCACACTTGCAAGGCGAAACAGCAACTCAGCTAATAGGACAACCAACAGCACCAGAACAAAGAGTAGCACCTTCTACGAATGGAAGTAACGAAGATCCAGAAGAAATTGGAGAACCTGAAGTGAACAATTTTGAACAGAATTTACTAAAGGCAGTGAAACCTGTCACATCTGTAAACCTATCCAGAAAGAGACCCGTTTCTGGGGCTGAAATAATAACGAATAACGATCTATCAACATCTACTATCACCAGTCCTACAATGATACCAACAACATCGCAGAATAAAGAAAGTATAAATGATATTCCGGATGCTCTGATTATTGAGGCCGTGACACCATCTCATAGACAGACAAATGAAAGCATCGATTACTTGTTATTGAATTCTGTCGAACAGAGTCCTTCTTCTCAACCAATTAAGAGAAAACGTTTGATCAAAGGAGGTGAAACTATCGTAGGTCCTACAACCAGTCCATGTGACGATGCACAACCCTCAACCAGTAATGTTACCCCATCGAAACTTCTTTAAAAAAATCGGAAAAGGGGACAATCGAATAGGTACAATTTTCATTCCAGCTCCAGCGAATCAGGTAGCGAAAGTGTGCCCTTTATGGAATCCGATGAAAGCTTCACATTGGAATCTGATACTGAGGATCCGAATCCTGAAATTAAAAAGGAAATTATCTTACCTCGGGACTGGGTTCTAGTTAGATACAAATTGCCAAAAGTGGACAAGCATTTCATTGGTCAAGTGGAGTCGGCAAAAAAAAGATGGCTTGGAAATCAAGTTCACTAGAAGGCTCAAAGAACATTTCGTATGGCAACTCACGGATGATATACAGGGTGTTCCTTAAGTACGTGTAGAAAATTCTGGAGCATGTTGCTGACGTCAAAATAAGAAGAAAAGTTCATATAAATATATGTCCGAAATTTATTCGTTTCTGAGATACAGAGTGTCAAAGTTGAATTATTATTCTTGTTTATTGTTGATAAATTTCAAAATGATTGTGATGTTCGAATGAAGTTTGGTATTTAATGGTATTTTCCAATGACAATATCAAATTTTATGTAATTTTTTCTCTTTCGTGGGGTGGCGCCACCTACATGTCTTTTGAGTCCTTTGAAAAGTCATAACTTTTTTGTGCGTACCTGTATAACGCTTCATAGTAGAAAAATAGGTTTCTGGAAAACTTTTATGTAAAAAATATATTCCTGATAGAGGTAGCTGCGAGCAACTGTTTTCGAGTTATTCCAGGCTCGTATGTCGCCTCTAAGTAGTGAATATCAGAAGAGATACGCCAGTGCATTATTTTTCTTTTATTCAATATTCTCCTACATTCAACATTTGAATGTAGATGAAAGATGATTCTTACTTCTTTGTACCTACTTTTTTGAACTCTTTCAATTTGAAAAAATTAAAATCAAGTGAGTACTTGTCATGTTATTTCAATCCGTTCCTTATCAATTTGGCTCAACTACTGTTATCATTATTAGTATCAAATTGTAATAACACCCGATTCCAATTTTTTAATGAGACTGAAAAGAAATAATGTCCCTCACTTGATAAATCAATTTTCAATTCCAACTTCTTGTCATTCCAAATTACTTGCATTGATTATTTCAAATACCAATAACTCGAAAACAGTTGCTCGCAGAGACCTTTACCATGAATATATTCTTTACGCAATAGTGTTCTAGAAATATATTTTTCCACTATAAAACGTTATACAGGTACGCACAAGAAAGTTATTACTTTTCAAAAGACATGTAGGAGGCGCCACTCCCACGAAAGAGAAAAACTAACATGAAATTTGATATTGTCATTAAAAAGTACCCCCAGATACCAAACTTCATTCAAATATGACAATTATCTTGAAATTTAATGCCAGAAAACCAGAATGAGAATTCAATTTTGACACTCTGTATCTCAGAAACAAACAACTTTCGGACATATGTTTATACGAACTTTTCTTCTTATTTTGACGTCAGCAACATGCTCCTGAATTTCCTACACGTACTTATGAAACACTCTGAAGATGTTTCACACTCAAATTTACTGGTTACAATATTTAGAAGCTTCTATTGGAAAAACTGATCTACCCCATCAGTATTTGTTGAAAAAATGTTTTGTTCTTGTTTTTGAGCGTATTAATACAAAAAAGTTATGTTTTCTGCTTTATTTAGTGTTTAAGAGTTATATATTCAATAAATACATGTTTCCATGCAATTCAGTTTTTTTTTCAATAAATTTTTTTCGACTCCCTTGTTTCAAAATTTGAAAGTTCATAACTCTTTTGTTTTTGATTTTTTTCGAAGTCTGCAAACGCCAGGTGATTCTTAATCTTTTGAACTTTATTTACACTTTCCCGTTCATTTCGATCATTATTCGATGGTAGATAGCAATCTGATTTCACACTCTCCCTATTTGGGGTAGAACGAACAATGATAAAAAAATAGATATTCATAGAAGGACGAAAACACATTAAGGTGACAGCACATACCTAAATAGCTTCTTCAATAACTTTTTTTGTTGTGACATGACTATGAAATTGAACTAGCAAAGCAAAATCGAGCTCACACTTACCCCAGTCTACCCTATATCCTCCTTTAAACATCTTAATAGGTAACCCAGCTCATAGGCGTATCCAGGGGGGGGCTGCCGGGCTGCAGCCCCTCCCCCCATCACGGCAGGTCTAGGAGGATAATTTATAATTTTTACATATTATAACCACTTCTGACGTACGACAATATTCATCATTTCTCTATAACCTACGTAATAAACAAATCAACAGAACATTATTCGCAAATATTAATTTTATATATATAAGTGCGTATTGGCAACAGCGCCAGAATCGTTGCGACAGTCGGGATATATCGTGACTCGTGAGATGTCGCGTGAAGAAACTTGCGAAAGCGCAGGAAGGGAAATGTTAGTAAATTGTCGTAAAGAATTATTCCCAAATATATATATTTTATTGAAAATATTTTACGTTATTCCGGTTTCAACAACTACTCCAGAAAGGAGTTATTCAACACTGAGACGGCTGAAGACCTATTCGCGCAACAGCACTGGAGAAAATAGATTAACCTCGTTATCTTCATTAAATATCCTTATTAAATATAAATTATGAGATTGAGATAGATATAGAAGAAGTACTGGATGCAATGAGCCAAAAAGCTCGTCGTTTAAACATTTGTTCATAATTTGTTTTTTATTTTGACTATTTCTTCACTAATTTTTTGTTTGTTTGATCAAATAGTCTGCATTCCGTAGTTTTCATCATAATTCGTTCATATTATAGATATTTTTATGGTGGGGTAGCTTATGTACGTTGTTATTCTATTGTTAATTTTGTTTTAACCTATGTATACATTTTTTGTGAAACAATAGAAATAAAGTTTGTTTTAGCGAAGTGTCAAGTGAATCAGTGCTGCACCTTAAATTTTCGCCACACTCCCTTCCTCAGGAGAGAAGGAGTAAACAGGATTTCTCCATCTCACAAACAAAAAGCGAATAAGTGCAAACTCGCACCCCGATGCCGACAAAAGAGAATACCCGCGTAACGTTTCGATATGTTTGGGATGAATTACGGACATAAATTGGGCATGGCTCCGAAAAATGTTTTTAACCTGCGGCGATTTTCTTTGGTCACCACTTCTTCTTAACACAGCCCCCCCCCCCCTCCCAAACCAAAATCCTGTATACGCAATGACCCAGCTCATAGACATGACAATGGTTGAAGTTCACACCCGTGTATGGGATCAGGAACCATTCCACGATTATAACTACTAATTTTTCCAGAAAGAGATTGGCTACTCACTGACGAGGATTCAGGGCAACGAGACAATGTTGACCCTACCTTTCAGTCCATTTTATTCCTAATGTGATTAACATCTAATAAAGGATCACTACGACCAGCCCTGAATAAATTGATGGTATAGAAACTGGGGCAGCGCTCCTGCACGGTGGTAAGCATAAAATAACAAAATTGTTAGCTTTCGTTTAGGCATTTTAGTGATTCCGTTATCCCTGCATGGAGGACTCAAGTACGATTAGTGAATCCAGAGAAGAGATTTCCAAGCGGGAACTCTCAAAACGGCTCAATAAGCTAGAGAAGAAACTGCATAAACGAAATCATCGCTACGAGGACGTTTCTCGCACGAGAAACAGACGGCGTTCTCGATCATGACGGCGTTCCCGTACTCGTTCTTGCAGCAGAGGTGCTTTTCTCGAATTCATACGCATGAATACGTATACACAGCGTATACGAGTTTTCACATACGGAAAAAAACGTGTACTGAAATGCATATGCATTCTTGAATACCATACGACTTCTTCAGTCGTCTACGTAACTTCTGATCGGATGAAAATAAGGCAACACTGTGCAAATGTCAATGTTCCCAATAGGATAAAACTAAATTCACTGAAACTACTGAAACATAACCTATGAATTGCGTTGTTGTTTATGTTCAGATGTTCTTAATTTGTACAAGTTCAACAATTTTAATTTTATTCTTTTGAATCTGTGTTTGAAAAATGGAAAAAACAGGGAGAGGCAGTATTACCGCTTAACAACGCAAAGAGTTGGTGGATTTCATTACAATTCATCCACAACTGAATTCTCGAAAATTTTCGAATGCATTCACTTTTAAAAAAGCTCAAGAGCTATGACAAAGTTTGGCTATCGATCTAAATGCATTGCCAGGAGCCAACAAAGATTGGAAGAAATGGAGCAAAGTAAGTATAAAATTCTTCAGACACCATTTTGGTTAGATTTCATATTAGGTATAACTTTTAGACATCAAGACAAGGACCAAGGGTAAGAGTAGCATCACAAATAGATATCGTAGAAGAACTGGCGGAGGACCACCGATAAATATAAATATCACCAATGAGGAAGGAGTTCTTGGCACTATGGGCTAAGTAGTAGAGGATGGTCATCCAGGAATACAAGAATCCCTGGTGGAATTTGATGACTATGCATCAAACTTATCACCAGTGACATCAGTCCAAGTTGATAGAGAACATAACTATTTCTTAGAAATATCAGGAAATAATCATGAAGAAGACTTCGCTGTTCCAGATGAAGATGATCAACCACTATTAGAATTACCCATACAGTCTGAATTGGCAGATGAAAATGATCCACTACAATCAGAATTATCCATGCAGTCTAAAGTAGGAAGTAGTGGAAAAACAGAAGATAAGCTGTCCAGAAGAATTCAAAGGCTAGAAAAAACTATATCGGCCACAGCAGAACTGGCCAAACAAACTGAGAAACTTTTTAAAATTTTTATTATATAAACAATCATGGAGCGATGGCCTTTGCTTGCTCCGTTATTGCTTATTTTATACACATTGCAACATTTTTCACTTCCATAACTTTACATTTTCTTGGCTGATGATGGGCCTATATAAGCCCGAAACATGTTCCCTTATATGATCTATGATCATTAAATAAAAGTTGTGGAGATGACTTTGGGTTTTCATCTATGAAACTGAGAGGGACATTGCAATGAGAGAAAGTT